ACCTTTTACAACTACACTTCACTGAACCAATAGAGGAGTCATAATGGACAATATGTTGAAATAACTTCTTATATGAGGTAACTTTATATTCAGTAACTTCCCCATTTTGAGAGGAAATATACATACTACAATCATAACCACTTGATACCTCGTGTTGGATCATCTTAAATATTGCAGGAGTATAAATTGTTGCCGCATGCCGTAGAATTTCCACATCAAATGACAGAATTAAACTTCTTTGGGTTGCTTTAAAATCTGCCTTTGATTCCTCATATCGACGATCCTCTACCATTCTCTGAAAATGATGAAAAAATCTTAGTAAATCATGTTGATAACTCACATATTTTTTAATTACATTATTCATACTCTCATTTCGTTGTGTGGTAGTCATGTCTGCACAAAAGTTCTCTCGACCATAAACTAATGCCCATTTCTCCTTTAAAGCAAAAGTCTGTTTCAACCAACTATTGTCTTTAAGATCATATTTCTCAAGCATATTGTTCCAAGCTATTATAAACTCTTCTTCCTCTTCATATTCATATATGCATTTATTAAAATCCTTACTGAAGTCTTGAAACTTCCCAAACACTATACTCAATTTCTTTAATGCATTTTGATACAAATGCCAAATACAAAGGCGGTGGCATGTTTCTGGCCATACCAAAGCTAATGCCTTTGCCATTGCTGCATCTTGGTCAGTAAGAATAGTCTTTGGTTTCTTTTCTGACATAGCTTTAGCAAAAGTATTGAACAACCAAATAAAACTTTCTGTCGTTTCATCATATAATAATGCTGCTCCAAAAATAATGGTAAGTTTATGATGATTGACTCCAACAAACATTGCAAATGGACGACCTTCTTTATTTTTTCTATAAGTAGTATCAAAACAAACAACGTCACCAAAATATGAATAATCAATCATCATCTTCACATCAGCCCAAAAGATATTAGTAATTAAGTCATCCTCATCGACTTGTATTGCATAAAAGAAATTAGAATCTTCTAATTGCATTTTTTGCAAGTACTCTAGCACACCACCTGTATCTCCTGACTTCATTTGCATTGTTCTCTTGGAACGTAAATAATTTCTATAGTCTTCGGGAATGAATCCAAGATTTTCACGACCACCAGCTCGCCTAGCCATTAACTCACAACTTGCTTTTGGAGTAATTCCAGAATCATCAACTAAATGAACCTCGGTTACTTGAGGAATAGTCATTTTCCTTTGAGATCTAAGCAAATGACTCTTACTAGGAGTTGATTTTTTTATTAGTGTGTGTGTGTTTTTTTTTCATTTTTCCTCTTTCCTTATTTTTTCATGCATTACAGACAAGGTTATTCTGTCTATTGTTGATTTCGATTATGATGTTTGTATACGTTGTATAAACATCAAAATCTTGAGATATTTTGCAAAAAAGTTTGACAATACCAGCAGTGTAAACAATGTATTTGATATACTATTCCAATATTAATAGGCTGTCATAAAAGTTAATTCTAATTACTATTTTGAGATGATCTTATCTGTAATATTAAGACTAGAATAAGAAATTATTACATTTTAAGAAATTTTTACATAGTTACTATTTCTTCTTAAAGAATATATTTATAAAAGTAATTTTGACTATAATTACCGGATAACCATGTCTATAAATAAACCGGCGAAAAACGCTTTCAATAATCAGTCATGTAATAAGTAATGTAGTCTGTTTCAAATCTTAATTAATACACATAGTACTCAATACTAGAAAACAAATGCATGGTGCTTTTTGCTATAACACTCACAATATAACTGCCAATATACGTGGCTATATTTGATAAAAAAAATTGATAAATTAATTGAGAGTTTAAAAATTATTTTTTAAATAAAACTGATCAAACGTAAAATGATATAACAATATGTTTATATGATTTTTTTAAATTTTTTTTATAGAAAATACATATTTAAGTAAATATAATTTTAAGTTTTTAAATTGATATTAAACTATTGTTAAATTTTGTTACAAGATAAAGTGTTTTAGCGAAAAAAAAAATGTAAACAAAGAAATAGTTAGGGATGACAAATAAAGCCGTACTCGTGAGTAATACTTGAACTCGTTCCGACTTTAATGAAGAATACTCAGTTTGACCAGATACGGGTACAGGTAAAACCCGATATGTTTAACCGGGTACGGATACTGGTATATACATACGCACCCCGTACCCGTACCTGTACATGTCCCGATTGAATTATGTTAAAAAAATTTAATATTTTATTATGTGTAATTATTTATTATAATGCGAAACATTTATAATTGTTTAATTATTAAGAAATTTCTTGATTAAAATATGATATAGAGAAATAATTTAATTATAATTATAATATAATAAAAAAATAATTTAAAAATATTGTGTATTTTTTTGTAAAAAAATAATAATATAGGGACGAGGATGGAGACAAAAATTACATACCCGGCAAGTACGAGTACAGGTACGAAGATTGGTTTGAATCACAAGGACGGAAACGCATATCACGAAGCTCATATCTGACTCGTCCCATTGCCATCCCTGATAATAGTTAAACAAATATAGTCATATTGAAGGAGGGGTTTTATTAAAAGAAATATTATAATATTAAAATAAGGTGATAAATAAGGACTTTTATTAAAAAGTTGAGGCTAAATTAAAAACAATAATATTAATAAATTATTAAATCCCAAACCCTAAACTTTTACATGTAATGATTTATTAAGCTTACAATTGCACATTATATACAAGGTAAGTGCTAATTAATATTAACTTAACCAGTTAACCTAATGGTATATGACTTGGCACAATTATATTAATTAATGATTTTACAGAAATAAACTATTTGGCATTGTGTATAAATTAACAAAATTTAGTAGAATCAATTATTAAACTGTATGCCATGTAATATCGTGTTAACTGTTCATATCAGAAAGTACTGCTACTTTGTAGCAATACCAAATTATGTCTATATTGATTAAATAATAATTATAACTCAGCACATTTTCAATTTTTAAACCTAAGACCAAGCTTTATCAAATGTGATTACCTTAATCCAGACAGATAATTATGTGATTAACCATTAATTGATGACAATAGCACAAAATAAAATTATTACGCTACATATACGCAAGACTTATTCTTTTTTATCAAGTGCAAGAATAATTTTGGCTCATGGTATGGTATGATTCATGTGACATCACACGCATCCGCACCCAGCAAAAAGGTCAAACCTAATTTCAACCCATGATCGATCTTGGACAAATCAAACGGTGGAAAATGTGTATCACGACATGTAAATATCGTGAGAATCAATGCGATGCGATCCACCCTACTCTTATAGGACTATAAACTAAAACAAACGCTGAATGACGTGGCGGCAGCGGAGTAGAGGATCCAGTTCCTACCATAGGCACGTGCACTCACAGTGGGCCCAACCGGATCAGCGCTAATCGCATCAATAAATGAATCCAACGGCCAAGGAGAGATAATAGTGAGAAACAAACCTACTCTGGGCAGCATGGGAGTGCAACCAATGAAAACAGAAGGAAAAAAGAGAGGCGCAAGATTACTATCATGCGCCAAAGAGTTGCGAGGCCATAAAAGAAAAAGGCGCAAGGTACTATCATGCGCCTGCATTTTCCAAAGCTGTGTGTGCTTTCTCTCTTTCTTTCTTCTGTCTCTCTCTCTCTCGCTCGCTCTCTCGCTCGCGCACCACATCTCTCTCTGCGTTAAGATTCAATACTCGCGAGATAATAACTAACACGAACACGAAGAAGAGGAACAACGACGGAGACGGGAACAATGAAGCAGGCTTCGTCCGAGGCAGTTCCGTCGCTATCCTCCGCGCCGTCGTTCACGGAGGCGGCGGCGACGTCGTCGTCTTCGGCGGCGGCGGCGGAGGACCTGGCGGTGGGGTCGCGGGATGGCGGCGGCGCGCAGGAGACGGTGGCGGTGGATCGGCGAGGCGAGTACTCGGCGGTGTGCCGATGGACGGTGCACAATTTCCCGAGAATAAAGGCTAGGGCACTGTGGAGCAAGTACTTCGAGGTAGGCGGTTACGATTGTCGTTTGCTAATATACCCCAAGGGTGACTCACAGGCGCTGCCAGGTTACATCTCTATCTACCTCCAAATCATGGACCCTCGCGGCACCTCCTCCTCCAAATGGGACTGTTTCGCGAGCTATCGTTTGGCAATCGTCAACGTAGCCGACGATTCCAAAACGATTCACCGCGATTCCTGGCACCGATTCTCCAGCAAGAAGAAATCGCACGGCTGGTGCGATTTCACGCCCTCCTCCACTGTCTTCGACCCCAAATTGGGCTACCTCTTCAACACCGATTCAGTTTTGATCACTGCGGATATTCTCATTCTCAACGAGTCCGTTAATTTCACGCGTGACAACAATGAGTTGCAGAACTCCTCTTCGTCCTCCTCGTTGTCCTTGACGGGCTCCTCCGGCGTTGCGGGTCCCGTTTCCGATGTTTTGAGTGGGAAATTCACTTGGAAAGTACATAATTTCAGTTTGTTCAAGGAGATGATCAAGACGCAGAAGATAATGAGTCCTGTTTTCCCTGCTGGGGAGTGTAATTTGAGGATTAGTGTGTACCAAAGCTCGGTGAATGGGGTTGAGTATTTGTCCATGTGTTTGGAGAGCAAGGATACGGATAAGACTGTTGTGTTGTCTGATAGGAGTTGCTGGTGTTTGTTTAGGATGTCTGTGTTGAACCAGAAGCCTGGTTCCAATCACATGCATAGGGATTCATATGGCCGGTTCGCGGCCGATAATAAGAGTGGCGACAATACCAGCTTGGGATGGAATGATTACATGAAGATGTCGGATTTTATCGGCACGGATTCGGGGTTCTTGGTGGATGACACTGCAGTTTTTAGCACCTCGTTTCATGTGATCAAGGAGTTTAGCAGCTTCTCCAAAAATGGGGCTGTGATTGCTGGGAGGAGTGGGAGTGGTGCAAGGAAGTCTGATGGCCATATTGGAAAGTTCACTTGGAGGATTGAGAATTTTACTAGGTTGAAGGATTTGCTGAAGAAGAGGAAAATCACTGGTCTATGCATCAAGAGCAGGAGGTTTCAGATTGGAAATAGGGATTGTCGACTTATTGTTTATCCTCGAGGTGTGCAATGTTCTTGCCCGGCAAATCTTTTGTCATTTTGTGTGCAACACTTGATTAGGCTTATAGTTAGCTATTAGATATTTGTTGTGTTGTTAGTGAGTTATAACTCCATTGGATGTGATCTTTTTGAATGTATTTTGGTGCAATTCTTGCCTACATTTATGGAATTGAAGGAGCATGCTTGGTTTAGTTTTGCAAGTTTCATTGAATTTGATATTTCATGCTTGTAGTTGAATATCTACCGGTACCACCATATGAGTATAAATGATAATCTAGATCTTAGGTGGCTGTTGATGCATGAATGTAGTCCATGCCTTACACACAGATTATTTTAATACGTTGAAAATATGTTTAGATTGTGATAAGAAAATGGTGTCTGATGATTTTTTATATGCCTTTGATGCTATCAGGGCAGTCTCAGCCACCATGCCACCTTTCAGTGTTTCTTGAAGTTACAGATTCAAGAAATACTTCCAGTGACTGGAGTTGTTTTGTTAGTCATCGTTTGTCAGTTGTGAATCAGAGGATGGAGGATAAATCTGTCACCAAGGAATCTCAGAACCGCTACTCTAAAGCTGCAAAGGATTGGGGTTGGCGTGAATTTGTGACACTTACCAGTCTCTTTGATCAAGATTCAGGTTTTCTTGTCCAGGACACTGTCATATTCTCTGCTGAAGTTCTTATATTGAAAGAGACATCAATAATGCAGGATTTTGCTGAGCATGAATCCGAGTTAAGCAGCAGTGGCTCTCCTGTTGATGGCAAAAGAAGTTCGTTTACATGGAAAGTGGAGAATTTCCTGTCGTTTAAGGAAATAATGGAGACTCGAAAAATATTCAGTAAATTCTTTCAGGCTGGTGGATGTGAACTTCGGATTGGTAGGTGTTCTATCACACAGATATTATCTCGTGCATTTTATTCACTGGCAGTTGTAGTTGTGAACATTGCATTTTTATTCTTTGATTTAAAGCTTAATAGCTTATGTTTCCTTGATCCAGGTGTATACGAGTCATTTGACACCATATGTATTTATTTAGAGAGTGACCAGGCTGTAGGTAGTGATCCAGATAAAAACTTCT